GGGGGGGGGAATTACGGGTCACTGGTGGGTCTCCTTTAACATACAGCTGATGGAGTGACGGTGGGGAGGAATCTGATTTTAAGAGGCAAAGCCATGCGGACAGCTTCAAGGTCGTCCTAACATCACATTTCATAAGCCCAAGTGTCTGTTACTTTTGGCGGAACGCTCTTGCATATTGAGACAAACAAAACGAAGCTTGTTTTGCTTGGGAGTTAAAAAGGCTTTACTGGACGAGGAAGCTTCGGAAGGGTATCCCGTGCTGGTGAAAACAAAGCAGCTGATTACACGTGTCAGAGATGAAATGCCACATGGAACAAATTAGCAACCTTAGACGAGCTGTCACAAAATACTGGAGAAGCACTGGGACATGCAAAATGTGCTTGGTAGGAAAACAAATACACATGAAAAATAAAAATCCAATAAAGTTCAAAAGTAATGATGGTGGATCATAATTAAATATACTTGGTCGTGGGCGTGTCCTGATTCCATCATGTATGTTTACATTTGCCCAAGGCACTCAACATTTACAATACACAAGATTACCGTATAAAGACACACACAGCTACACTTTGCATGAGATCTTAGGTACCCAACCATCATAACTTACAACCCCCCCCAAGCCCCAAACTCCCTGTATCAAATCAACCCTGAACTTCAGTCCAAACTGCTAACGCTAAAGTGACGACCTCACCAATAAGTCATCTGTACACTCGCCTCAAAGTAATGTACAAATCCTAAACCCCCTAATTTTCAAAATCACGGGACCACACCCCTCCGCCCGGCCCCCCAGGTCACACACCATGTTGTACGGAATGTAATTTCAGGTTGCCGCAGTGCTTGTGACAGAGAAGTGCAATGTCAAGACCAGATGAACTTTGACAAAGCGTCTGAACTTTTTTTTTTTTTTTTTTGGTACAGTTATATGATTTCATAGTTACGATTTTTCATCTGAGGGCAACCATAACCGACGTGGACCACAATGAATACAGCCCTAAGAACCAGAGCTGCGTCAACATCACTATGAGGTGCCTTTTGAGACTTTACGATTTTCAAAAAGTTGAAATTTAACTCCATTTTCATTGTGATAGGAAGATGTCATTTTGTTTTCGTTCCCACACATTTTTATATACAGTATATACACATTAAGTGCAAGTGGACAATGCCAATGGCAAAATATGATTGCTTGCTGACAGGGTGGACATTTTTGGCTCATGTGAGTGTTCTTTGAGCACTTATTGGTCCTTTATTTTTGCAACGTGATTCACTTAGCAAGCCGACGGTGTACTGTAGAGCAAAAATGTGACTTTCTGAAAGGCTTGTTCGATTCATATTTCAGTGGATATGTTAGGCTTTCAGCCACCCCTTCCAAAAGGATAATCATAATTGAACTGAAAACGCCATAGGAATTCTTAATGGGGTAACTGCCCCTTTATGTCAGGGTTGACAATTTCAGGGACCCATTCATTCAAAATTGAACATACCATGACCAAAATGATTTGTATGTGTGCAAATATTTTGTCACTTCTACAAGTACCTCCGTTTTGTTCTTTTGCTACATTGAGACGATGACAGTTGATTCTGATGAGGACAACAAAGGCACTTTATAGTGATCTTGACCGAGAGACTCTAATCCAAACCATCTCTTCTGCAACAGGTGTCCAATAAACTATGGCTCAAAAAAAAAAAAAAAAATCTAATCAAGTACATAGCGCACGTAACTAAGAACCACCCCTGTGAGGAGCAATGACTGAATGGTCCCAACATCGGCCTGTTTAAATGGCAAAAAAAAAAAAAAAAAAGGAAAATCAGTGTTCCCTGTTTTTTCCGAGCAGAACGCCATCTATGCCTTCTCCAGAGATTTGTAGTATTCTTTCAGCACAGCCCAGGCCTTCGGCGCCATGAAACCATCTGGAGGGTTGTCGCCTTCGCGGGCCATCTTGCGCATGCGTGTGCCCGAGATGAAGTCGTAGTCTTGATGGCTGCGGGGGAGAACATTAAAAGGTTTACTTTTGGCTTGGCTTCAAGCTTTTAGGAATTGGAAACAGGGATGCTTTTGGAAGACTGTGTTCTTAGAGTAGGAATTAAACGATATCAATGTCACCATGTATATCGAAAAATGATAATGTGAGGAAAAGCTGAGTGGCTGGAGAAGTGAAATGTTTTTTCGGGTATGTTTACATATCGTTTCATGAAACTTGCAAAGTTGAAGTGATTTGTTTTGTACTTTATTGTTGAATCTGACTTACTGACTTGTTTACGCTACACTTGTTTGGTAGAATTGTTTTTTTTTATATGAATTCATGGTTCATTTGCCTTTATTTTAGCATAAACTTTACTTGTAAGACCAACACGTTTATGTAAAATACATCAGATTTTTTTTATTAATTAATTTATTCCTCATTTGTTAAAAAAAACTACTTTGGAAAAGGACTTCGACAAAAATGATAACTGCGATATCAAGGGGAAAACAAAAAAAAATGGTTTTCAAAATCGTTCAGCCCTACTTGTGAAACAGTGATTTGAAGTATTAATACTTACGTTTTGATCTTAAACTGTTTTATTGACACATCCTGTATAACGATCTGAAGATGCCCTCAGACATAATCAGTCCATGACCAAAAAAAAGAAAACTAAACTAAAGCAAGGACTGCTCTTTGAATTGGGTCCACCGAGAGCCATGCTCAGGCACCTTTTGTGTCCATTTTATTTGATGTGAAATTGGAAGCAGCCTCTTGTGAGCTGAACCATGACTTCTTCATGTTGGCAAAACTGTCAAGACCTCATGAGAGAACATTTGGATGGGATTTTGCGTTTCTTGCAGTGGCGAGTCACTTTTGAGCTTTAAAAAAAAAAAAATTGAACTAAAGCCGAGTGAACTGTTCAGACCTTCGAAGTTTTGTTCTAGTACGGAATGTTCTTGATAAACTCCATGTCACACATTGTGCTTCACGGGCAAACAGAAACAAGCCATAGTCCATACCAACGTTCACCCTCCCCTTTCAGATTTTTTTCTTCCTTTGCCATTTCACTTGCGGCAAAGGAGGAGGAAAAAGAACGGAGGGAAATAATGTGCGGCAAGCTGCTTGGTGCCACGCTACTCACTTTTTGGCCTCGTAGAAGTCCATGGCTCGCTTCACTTTATTGTACGCGGCGACCTTGAAGGGGACTATCTCCAAGGTAATGAGACCCGGGGCCATGGTGAGGACTTTGGCCCCGTGGGTGGGCTCATACAGGTCCTTCCCCGTGTCGGGGTGGGGCATGCCGGCGGGGTCGCGGCCCACGATGTAGAAGTTGGCGCCGGCTACCATTCGAGCACGGCAGTGCCACTGCACCTGTCATGGGAGGGAAACATGCTGATTGGCAAATCTGGACACAAAAAAAAGGGGCTGCAACTATTTTATCGTTTAAATCAAACTTTCACGAAACAGAGTCGGGGGACGGGTGGGAGCTTGGAAATTTAGCGCTGCCCATCAGCCTAGTCTAGCTGGTTTCACCTGGGAGTTGATTAGCCCACAGAGTTTGTCCAAGTATCAGCACTTGAATTTGCTTGCAACCAAAATGGTTGACTTACTGTTACTTGAAACTGGACTCAGATTTTTTTTTTTTGGTGGGGCCTGGGTTGTTGGCTTGCAGATTTCAGATATGGGTCCTTAAATGACAATAAGTCTGTTGAGTTGAGTTGACAGGTCTGCCTAATTTTGTGCAAATTAGTGAAACTGGTGTCAGGGAAAATGATCTCCAATTTTCCGGGGCGGTGCTTCTCTGTGAACCTACGGTGGTCGGTTTTGTTGGGAAACACGAGGGAAGGGGCATTCGGTAAGCATTCACCTCGGTGGGCCCGGCGTACATCATAGGTGAGGGGAAGATGGCGACGATGGTGGAGTCGGGGTTCAGGATGCCCTCCTCCAGCACGGCGGCGTGCTGCCTCATCCGCCACGGCAGCGGCACGTCGTCATCCTTGGTCCAGCCGCCCAGCGGGTGCAGCAGGAGCACGGGCCGGCGGTAGCCCCGCTCTGTCAGACGCTTGTGGGTGTCCTGCATCAGGAGAGCGTGGCCGTTGTGAACCGGGTTGCGCAGCTGGAAGGCAAACACGGCATCTGCGAAGGGAGGAAACATGGACTTGAAATTTAGTCGGACAAAAAAATCTCCGTTCAAGTCCTTTTCCTCAAGCCATGACCACTTGAACGTGTTCCTAACACTTGCATCGATTGCACGTATGTCTGTCAGCTTGCCTGTCTACCTGTTTGAACATTGCGCTGGGGCCGTACCTGGCCGATCACACATGAATTAAGTTTACACAAAACGCTATTCAAATACTCGACAATCAATGATTAATCTGCCTTTTGTGTGCACACGTGCACCCTTTGTGGCTTCCGTTCTCGCCGAAATTTCCAAATCTCCAAAGATATGGCGAGGCCATGAGAATGCGAGGGCAGGGGTGTTACTATTCCTAGTGTTAGTGCCTCAACATGGCTGCGCTCGTGAAAGCAAAACAACGAACTCAAATGCGTGTTTGTTCAATGTTGTCAACTAATATCCGGATTAATTTTAGGCAATTTTTCCTCAATTTTCCGGAGGAATTTTCATGAAAATTTGAAAATCCAGAATTCTGGGAAAATCCGGAGGACTTTCATCACTGATGATCTTGGCCCCTGCAGAAAAAAAAAAATACCTGCATTCATTTCTTTAAACTTCTGTTTGAGCTCAGTGGGCGTCAGTCGATACTGGTCCAGTCCGTCGTTCCAGTAGATTCGGTCAAGGACCTGCAGGTCGCCACCGACAAGCCAGTCGCCGCTTTCCATCACCATCTGAAACAGGAGTCAGAGCAGCGATCAACGCTGAACGCAAACACAGTCCAGACATGAGACGACCGCGGGCTGTAAAAAAAAAACGCAGAGGCGAGCTGGAGTGGCGCCAGGCCAAGGTCTAATAAAGTCCAGACTTATCACATCTGAAACAGCGGGGACACTCACAAAATGGATCGAAAGTAGAGCCTGTTCAAAAGATTTTCTTCACTGGACGAGGTCACCAAGCATACATGCTGTTTTAGCAATCTTTAAAAAAAAAAATGCTGGTTTGATGGCTGTCTTTCGACTTGGTGAAACAGCGTGTGGCTCGCTGCCCAAGGTTATTTTTGTGCGCTCCGTTCCAAGTAACTGTCATCAATTCGATGTTATTGTCGTGAGACGGCGGTTTGAGTGGGACAGCGGCTGTCATGTTAGTTGGAAGACCTTCTATACTGCGCTTGTGTGTTTTCCCGATGCAACATCTTCCAACAGAAATAGGGTAACTATTATGGTTGTATGATTGTGAATACGGTAATATAGAAAGCGTTGCCTTGACAACACGCATTAAGATGACCGGACGTCAAGCAGTTCTGCCGAACGTGACCGGTTTTGCAGCTGGTGAATGGGGCGGAGCATTGGCAGATCGCTACGAAATTGCTACGATTCCGAATTTGAATTGCAGGTGAACGGCTTCACACAAAAAAATTCTACAATTTTCTTCTAAGAAATACAGTGCTATTACGTGCACCTTTTCCGAGCTCCTACTGCCATTTGTGGAGGGGGGAAAAAAAAAAAAAAAGCTTTATTTATCTTATCTACCTGAGCCTCGCAGCAACAGACTGGAACAATTTACAACACATTCAGTGAGAGTGAGTCAGCATCCAGAAATAACACCTGCCAAAGCGCACTGGACCAAAAGCGGGAGATCAAGTGATTAGCCCGGGCGTCCGGACAAATTGGGGAGGAGGAGCGCCTGACCCCGACAGCTTCCCTGCTTTTCAGTCTTTCCATCAGCCAAGTGAAACGGACGCCACATCAGATCTGTGTTCTATCGGGGCTGATTCCGAGGCAGCGAAGCATGCTTGTGCGGAAGCTCATCACTTTGGATTTATGACGGTTTTGGGTGTAAACATTTGTCTTTTAATGGCACGCCTGCTCGTGGAAGTGCGCACTTTCGTCCAACCTTGAGAGCCACCCTGTTGGGGTCGGTCAGAAAGTGAGCGGCACCACCTGTGTTGCTTAGGCTCTGCCTACACAAACATTGCTCGATTTTTTTTCCCCTTGTTTTTTTTTTTTTAAAGAAATGTATGTTTTTTTAATGAACTGTGGGCCTTTGTCCACACGGAAAATGAGTTGGAGAGGGTGGAAAAGTGAGCTTTTGGAAAACTGTGGTCAGGATGAAAACATTTCAAAAAAAGTGTTTTGAGTCCAGACTGGGGGAAACAGCATTCGTGGGATGAGCGCAGACTCATTTAATGTCAAAGTGTTTTTTGTCCAAGCACTTTTGAGGCCAAACACAAATATCCCTCACAGCTCCCAAGCCTGATCAGAAGCTAATGCTGTTAGCCGTGCGGTCGACAATGTTGAATGCAGCTCTGCTTACCTTTTGGCCTTGATATAAGAGCATGGATGTCGCAGTCGTAGGGGATGGTTCTCAACAGTCAGTAAAATCGAGGCTGCGAATGTTGCGCTCCCGTCAGAGTTTGTTCAAGGTCGCAAATGTTCGCCAGTGCGAAGGTTTTATCATGCAAGTATGGGACACAATTAAGGGGGAAAAAAACATCTAAATCCCATCCCAGGTTGTGCCCCGCGCCTATCTGAAGCACCCTGGTAATCATCATTCCGAGTTTGCGTTTGGCTACTGACCTTGATGTAGGGATGGCTCTTGCATGCGGTGCCCCACTGGCGGGCGCAGCGCTCCTCCTTGCGGTGCTCGTAGAACTCGGGGTTGCGAAGGATAGCCACTCGCCTGCCTTCGTACACCAGCGCCATCGCCGTCACGCCGTCCAGGCGCTCTTTGTCCTCCGACGCCACCGGCAGCACCACCGGCACTGAAAGGTTGATCACACCGCCTGGAGCGCAGAGTGAAAAAATTCATCAGCAGTTATTTCAAGTTAGGTCCTGTATTTGGACAATGCCGAGAGTGCGTCCAAGTTTGACGACCATTTTGAGAATTTGCCACGAAAAACGTGAGTGCTGTCGCACATCATGTTCTATTCAAAATTGTTGGGTTAACATCCCTGCTATTACCCACATACATAGGAACCACGCTGCCGAATGAAAATGTTTAAAAAAATATTATAAAATGGCCTTGTTAGTTGACGGTCATATGATTTAAGAACTTGAATTGTGAACGCATGCTGATAAGTTATGATGGATCTTCTTGCTGTGGCGTCAGAGGGCGATACGGACCCCCAGCGCGCTGTCGTCTCGTCCCAATGTGCCGGCCGAGCAGCTGCTCCCCATTAAAACTCACACAAGCCAACAAGACAGACACAAACAGGACTTTTGTTGTTTGTCTTAGCAGACCGTTCAGTTCGCGGCGGGCCGGCAGCTTTGATTGACGTCGAAAATAGGAATTCCTTGTGCTCCCTGGCTGCAGTTTACTGGCACGCCGAACGACATGTCAATCTGAGAAATGTCGACACCTCATTTACATAGTCGAGTTATCATTTCTGCTTTTTACTTGAGGATATTCATGCTTGGACAGCCGTTGTCATCAGCACCTGCTAAATTCTGACAATGATACAAAAGTGATGCTATTTTTTCCCCCTTTTATTTTAAAAATGTTTTATGCATGTGCATGTAACAAAAACATTTGGCAGAACAGCTCAAGCTTGAGGAATTGGAAAAGGGTCACATGGGAAATCTTGGAACGTTTGTGAAGCATAAGTTGCAGTTAATCGCACTCAAAACTCCTTTCATTGCCAAAACACAGAATTTTTTTGTGCTCTTTTTGAATCTGAACGAAGCTGTCAATAATGTCGATAGCCCGGATGACTTGTTAAATGAAATGCATTCTGATATTTTGCAGATGTCCAAGTGGAAAGAATTCCTAAGGTAAGCTTTTCCGCCATCTAGTGGCCTTTCTGGTGTACTGCAGATATACTTCACACTAAAACGAATTGCTTTGGTGCCGAGCAAACAACCGAATAAATATTGTCGCTCTCTTTTACTGAAAAAGGGTGTTCTGATACCGGTAGATTGCTTCTCGTCACTTTTTTTTTAAATTTTAATGATGAAAATGCATGTATTAATTTGCTTAATTTTTTTTCCACGAAGCCAATATGAATCAGAATACCGTGTTTCAACTAGTGATGGCACAAAGAACATACTGAAAAATAGAGGTTTGTCTTGAGTTTCCCCTACAATGCTGTGTCTCCTTAAAAAAAAAAAATAATAATAATAATAATAAATACCATCCAGCAGGCAGTCAAAGTGGAGACACTGAAGATACTCCCGCTCCCTCATGAAGCCGTTGAGTGGTGTGGCCCAGCCTTCAGCCAGGACCTGCACCCACTGCATGTCCACCTGACGGTCACACGCGCAATCAACATCTTTAAGTCTCATTTACAGGCAGTAGAATGTCATAGAAAAATCAATGTTTATGGATTTAGAATGGACAACAAAATGTTGAAACTCTCATGTTCCCTTATAAAATTAACAGTGTCCCAACATAGTGGTTGTAGTTTGCCGGGCAGGAAAACCACACCAAACCATATTGACAGGTGTTGCTGTCTTGTTTGTTTAAACAAAAGAATTCAACAAATTGCATAAGTGGTTGTAATTTAGTGGTTAGCCTCAATACAATTGCTTGTGCCTCTCTGAAAAAGGACAGAAAAAAGGAGAAACCTTTCCAATCTGAAGAGAAGGTAGCGTCTCCGCATCAGCTTTGGCCAAGTCCAGTTTGTTCTCTGGAACGTACAACTCTTTCACCTCATAGGAAGCGTCCACCGGTACAATGTCCTGCGATGATGACAGAAACGCAAAACAATTGAGAATTTGTACGGTCCCGGCGGACGGGTTGGAGGGAAACTGTTGGCTCGGCATTCACCCTCTCCTGAAGCAGGTCAACCAGCTGCTGAATGCACTCGTTCACGCTGCAGGAGTCGGTTTTCAGCACCAGTTCAGGCGCCTCGGGTTTCTCGTACTCTGAGTCGATCCCGGTGAAGCCTGCGCAGCAGCGTGAAAAATGTCCGGTTTCTATGCTTCACGAGTGCATTATGACTTCATTGTCAGAACATTATGAGTAGGAATCCCGCGACTGGACTTGTCAAAAGCCCTCTACCTCTGATTTCGCCCGCTCTGGCTCTCTTGTAGAGGCCCTTGACATCTCTCTGCTCGCACACGTCCAGCGGGGCGTCCACAAACACCTCGAAGAAAGGCAGCCCCGCCGCTTCATGGATCTTCCTGGCATTAAGACGATCCTGCAAACAGTTCGGTCATGAGAAACAATTGGGTCGAACTATTTCTGATCACTGATGATGGCACAAAAGAAAACAAGCGCTCTACAGCTTTTTTTTTTCTTTAAAGAGAAATTCAAACACTTCTTTTGAATCAAATAAGAACTTTACATTGCTCAAATGAAATTAAACTTCAAAAAGGTGTAAATTTGGAGTAGACGGGGCTCAGCGCTAAAGCAGGCAGCATGGTGGTCGACGGGTTAGCACGGCCACCTTAGAGTACAGAGGTCGGGGGTTCGAATCCAGCCCAGGCGTTCCTGTGTGGAGTTTGCATGCCAGTCCCGTGCCTGTGTGGGTTTTCTCCGGGTACGCCGGTTTCCTCCCACTTTCCAAAAACATGCATGATAGGTTGACCGAACGCTCTAAATTGTCTCTCGGTGTGACTGTGAGCGCAAATGGTTGTTTGCCTGTGTGTGCTCTGTGATTGGCTAGCAACCGGATCAGGGTGTACCTCTCCCGCTGCCCGAAGACAGCTGAGATAGGGTGTGGCTGCGAAAGCGCTGTAAAAATGTAGATGGATTGCATTCGTGTTTTTCCATTCCGTAACCCAATGAGAATCGATAAGACACTTCACATGGAATCCCCACGAAAAGCAGTATTATCAGAATCGCTCAATTCCTTTTCATTTCCATCCTTAGCCATTACCCACCCTGCTGTAGGGGGAGATGAAGCTGGCCAGGCAGACCAAGCCGGCGTCTGCAAAGAGCCGCGCCACCTCGGCAATGCGCCGGATGTTCTCCTCGCGGTCCTCGGGGCTGAAGCCCAGGTTTTTGTTCAGACCCTGACGGATGTTGTCGCCGTCAAGCGTGTAGCATGGGATGCCATGGCAGACGAGATACTCCTCCAGGGCCATGCTCACTGTGGTCTTCCCAGCGCCGGACAGACCTCAGCCGCAAAAAGAAGAACGACAAAATAAATCACAAATTGGTGCAGTTGCAACCAGACTCAGCCAAGCCTCACAACTTACCAGTGAGCCATACAGTGCATCCTCTGAAGCCGCCTCTGGTGCCCACCACCTGCCCACGCTTGTTCCTGCTTACGTGGTGCGCTTGGTAAGTGACATTTGTGGCACGCTGTGCCCCCTGTATTGATTCAGGAATGAAAATCGATTGGTGGTTGAATTTACCATTAGGGATTGGGTCGATTGTGGTCACGAGTTGTTGATTAATTGCTCCTTGATTAACATTTCATCAACTCTCTTTTTCTCATTGTAAACTTTGTAGACATCCAGTAACTTGTCGCAATGATGTTGGATTTTATAAAGTTTTGGTGCAAAATATATCGTTTTGCGTTGAACAAACGACCCGCTGAACATATACACAGATTAAATAGTATTTAAATAAAATAAACGAAATAGAAAAAAATATCGACGATTCATAAAAGGGCGTACAGAAATGTATTTGAATTAATTCCTTGATTATACACTGCAGTCATGTCCGGGCTGTCCAGGCAGTAACTTAGTTGCTAACACAAACCATTCAAAACAAGCTAAATGTACCGTCCACATCAATAGGGAAACGCTAATTATTGCTAACAGGCGAAACGTAAGGCAGAAGTTGTCTGATTTCTCGACGGGGTTGCGACGAATGGCCAGGTGATCGCGGCTAAAGACACTCACCCAATTCTGCGGCGCGTTAGTCAGCTTCTGCTTCTTGTACGAGTTTCCGTATGTCTCCATCATATCAGCCCGCCGATCCGCTTACTTTGTTCCACCGTTTTCGATCGCTTTTAAGATCTGAGGACCCGTTGTCCGCGTTTACCTGTGATGTGTGCCCAACCCGATGCTGTTAGGTATCGCCCGAGCACGGAGGAAAGCCTCGGCAAATTGAAAAGGGGAGCGACAGGAACCGGTTGCCGAGGGAGCCCGAGCCACGTCGCCTGGCGAAGCTGTGCCGGTCTTCCTTTCTTCTTCTTCTTCTTCTTCTTCTTCTATCTATTGGCGGTTGCCGAATAACTTTGAGTGCATTACCGCCATCTTCTGAAATACTGTAGATTGTGGGTCTGGACAATACTACTTTACTGTATGCCAGAGCCTCCCATTTTATTATCCTCTCTCCAAACAACAAGAACAGAAATTTTAAACTGACCTCAGAGCAACCGATGAGCCTTACTTGATAACATTGTTACTATTCAAAATCTATATTTCTTCCCTGAAAAAAAATAATACTCCAATGTTCAATGTATGTAATTTGGTCATCACTCCATTTCCCCACCTTTCGTTATTTTCATCATATCAATGTGTGCAGTCGGATGTGAAATTAACACTAGACAAAAAGCTAAGAAATTCGAAATGCCGGTTAATAAATAACCGAGTCAGCTTGCTAACTGAGTCATGATGCCAAGTGACGTGATTCATAAACTGCTAACATTAGCGAAAAATGACTACCTTGTCAGCAAATACACACATTGTGGCAACAGTCTAAAGCACTTAATGTAAAAAAAAAAAAAAAAAGCTTAACGGCGCTTTCAGAGACTGATGTGGGTAGAGGCAGAGATGTACACGTTCGTGTTGGTGGCGATTGGTGGTGGTTTTCTAACCAACATTAAATCATACGCTGACACGAGGCGTTTTAGACCTTCCCTAAAATGTTGCTCTTTGCTTGTACATTGTCTTGTTGCAGTTAATTCACATCAAAATCAAACCTGGGAGTATGACCATTATGCATTTCTAACAGCATCTTAGGTATTTATTTATATTCAGGGCCCATAAATCATCGGGCAGCACACTAGAGGCCGCCCTCGATCCGAACACAATGCACACCAGAAGCCGAATCGCACACCTCTGTTCGTCACAGAGTTCAACGTCACCGCTTTGGCTTGATGACGCCGGTGTTTTGTGACGTCGACGCCGGGTGAGTCGACGCGATTGACATTCGAAGGGGACCGAATGGGATGGACGCGAGCGGAAGGGCGAGCGCAGTCTGGTTGGCGCACGTCAAACGATGGGCGGCGGGGAGGAGCGAGCCCCGGAAGGCGAGGGTCTGTCCCTTGAGGAGCCGGAGCACTCCTCCCTGAGCCGAACGAGCTAAGCATCCTCTGCACCCTCTTGCCGACACTGCGACGACACAAGACACCTCGAAGACCGACGAGGACAGGTAAGACTCCTCCGAAAAACGGACTCTTGCTCAAACTTACTGTTGCATTTCGAGAGGGATCCATTCAACAGTGTTTTCTGTGTTGCACTTTGCAGTGCTGTCCATTAGAATGTAACTTGTCCCTGCCAAGCTACCCAAAGTATAAGACTCATAATGTCTGTCATAATTTAGTATCACACAATTGTAATGGGGGACTTTATGTATCGGGCCTCATGTTGTGACCGTTGAATTTTAACTGATCCTATCAGTTTTCAGCCCCCCTGAGACTTCAAGAGAAACAAAGAAATAATAGATTGTAGGTTTTATAATCAGCATTTGCGGGTTAAATACTATTATGATATTTATTATTATTATTCCCTCGTGGTCGTATCTATCTTATCTATATCAATCAATCTAGCACCCTTTTTGAAACTGAGATCTATGCCTTACATTCTGATGAACGCGAAGTGCCACCAGTTGGACACACTTCTGAGAGAAAACATGTACTCAGATTACCTTTAATCATGTTACAGTTCTCGTCAAAATGAATGATATTAACGCATGGTATGCGAAGACACCGATCAAGTTAACAATTTCTCGTAGCGATTCAAGAAACAGATGAATATCAACATGCAACAATGTTCTAATTTTCAAATAATCGCTCCTACGACATTCCGAGGAAATCACAACGTCCTCTCACTAGCGGGCTTGGTTTAGAACAGGCCTGAGGGCTACTCATGTGCCTGTGGGCACTAGGTTGGTGATTTCTGGCCGAGTGATTAGCATGTTTACCAGACATCCGTCCGGTATGCAGTTTGCATGTTCTCCCCTTTCTCAGGCGAATTTTGTCCTGCTACTCTCTGCCTTCCGGCTACATCAAAGGATAATTACAATGGCAGCTTGCAGACCAAATTAAATTGCAAATTATCAATGCCAGTCCGATGAATTTTCCTCTGATCATGTAAATCAAAACAATGTAGGCACAGTATATGTTTCATATTCTGAAAAAAATTCAGATCCAATGTTTAAGCTGTGTGTAACACGATGACACTCGTACTGGTTTGTGTATCTGCTACACAGTCCAAAAGTCCTTTTTAAATTTTGTTATTTCTTTATTTTTCTGTCTGCCTTTCTGCCACACTCCAAAAACATGCATGTTAGGTTTAAATTGCCTGGCGGTCTACATACACTCCATGGACTTTAGCTTTCTTACCTGCATGAGATGAGAACATACAAGCAAGACGTTCAACTTTTATTCTGTCCCCTGTAGTTAAGAACGCTTTATCGGTTTGCACGTAAACAATGCGTACACATGCGATGAGATCAATTCTGAATAGCGTCGTACATATTGATCAGAGATGAGAGCAGCCTCAAAACCTCACTTTGAAATAGAAACATCAAAACATTTCCAATGCTGCGTTGCTTTTTTTTTTTTATTTTAATTCTATTGCGAACTCCCAGATGTTGGGAGGCCTGCCTGAAAGGGAGAGAGTGTAATTACAAGACAGTGCAAATGACCTGTTGCCCCACCCATGAGTCTCCTCTGGAACATGGTGTTTAACACTGTGTGTGTGTATCTAAGACAGACTCCCTACAAGGGAGACGCCCAGTCCTGCCTGTCATTACTGACAACGTACGCCACACTTGAGGCCCGAAGGCACCCAGGTCCACCCTGTCTAATAAGAGTAAGCATGTTTCGCATCACATGTGGCTTTTCCACCTCTACCGCACATGTGTTCGAAGGCCGCTTCATGTCCACTCCATATGTGGTACCTCCAGGTCTGCCCTATCTCAGGTCCAAAGCACCTTGGGCCACCCAATTTCTAATCTAAAGGCCCAGCAACAGGCCAGCTACATGTGAGATCTAAGGCCCCACCTGTGGTCATAAACTTCCAACATGTCCACTCCATTGATCGTTCCAGTCATAACCGCAGCTGACCGTTCTTCCAAACCCGATGGATTTCGTCTCAACAATCTGAGGTCAGAGGCACAAATATATGGGAACACAACCCAAACATTTCAGCATGTTCAGAGCTTGAATATTGACAAAAAAGACACTTTCTGCAGCCTTCCATGAGGGCTCCGCCTTTGGCATGACTTATTTTTGTCACTGCCTTTGATGGAGACGATCCACATGCTGCCAGGAGGTAAATGAGTGGGGAGCTGTCGTAGCATGTTATTACCGAGGCCCCAAAATGGAGGCCCAGCCCTGGTTCTTGTGGAGTATAAAACAGAACCTTCATCCGGGCTCTCTGGAAATAGCCTGGTTGGGTGCAGCCGGCCAAGTTATCCATTACGCCGTGTGGACATGTGGAATTGCTGTTCTTGTTTTTTTTTTTTGTTTTGTTTTTTTTAAGTCATTTTTCCATCACCACTCATTCCCTTCAGAGCACTGGCGGGCACACTGGCCGGTGGGAAAAAAAAAAAGACTTCTCTTTGCTTCCCATCAGAGCAGACTTGCTTGAACACTGCTGAACATTGATGCCGTGTTTGAAAGCATATTTCCCTCATGGGAAATATTGTGATTCTTCCGTTCCAGGGTAAACTGCAACCATGGCTGTTCAGGAAATCTTTCAGTTACTATGTTGTGTTTTATATATATATATATGTCATGTGCAAAAAGAAGCTAACTTTAAAATAAAAATAAAATAGCAAATTTTCCCCAAATGCTTCCGAAGTCCCAATTGTTTTTACTTTTGCTGCTTTTTCAACCACATTTAATAAGATTAAGGCTTCATCATGTCCATTTTTCATGTCATCCAACCCGGTCGACCCTATTAACAGGGAGACAGGTGAAAAAAAAAAATCGTCATATTTATTCATTCAAATGAAATGCATTCAAGTATTAGTCACTTGTGAGTGATTTTCTAATTATTTTGCATCGATAGACACGACGCTTCCCGGCAACATAGACGTTACATCACCCCATGTACAGCAACGCGAATGATCTTGTGTTGTTTGCACGCCCCCGCCGTTAATCAACTTTGCGACTCCTCCCCGCCTGTCAAACGTTGTCATTCGCAGCCATCCATCAGCCGCACCTCGCAGTGTACATCCGTGATTCTCAGACTGATCGTCATTGTCCCTCCCTCCCCAAAATTGATCGGGAGCAACGTGATACCCGTCTATTTCTATCCCAATTCTTTGCCCGGGTGCCATATTTGTCCACAAGTAAACATCCCATTGTCTATGCATCCTAAGTAGGCTCTCGTTTAGGATTGCTATCCCCAGAGCCATTAGCAGTTAAAGGCGCCCTTTAAAACCTTTTAGATGTGAACTAATGAAAATGTTGAAAGTGGAGAACGTCGTACGCTTGATGTAGGACTTCCACTGGCCATTAAGTGGAGCACACTGAAAGACATTGTGATTGTAGACATTTTACAAACGGTTCACTTCTTGCTCCATCCACTCTCACTCGATGTTTAGAATTGGACAACATGTGGTAGGACCCAACTGGACCCAACCGATGTGGATTTTTTTGGAAGCCGATGGCAATTGTGAAATTTGACGGAATACAATTCCAATTAAGCAATGAATCAACCAATTAACTCAAAAATATTTACCTTGATAAGTCAAAAAAATAATCTTTTGATCCTCAATGTTTACAACAATAAAGGTTTGACTTACAGGCCGAACATTTGACTGTTTGAAAATATTTAGTTCCTTAGTATTAGTTTTTCCAACAATTGGTAAAAAAAGCAATCACTTTTTTGGGGAGGGGGTGGTGTTTGAACCTCATTATCTTTGTTTTATGGTGTAATGCGTTATGAGTAAAAAGAGAAAAAAAATGGGCAAAGAAGCCACCGGGTGAATTTAAAGGAGCCAATATCTGCTGATGAAGTCCTCTGGCCGATTAATCGTTTGGGCCCCGAATGCACATAGAATCGAATGATTTTCAAGGGCAAGAGTCTCTTAGCCAGTCAATTCGGTAGCCCACGTTATTTGCAGTATGCAGCTGAAAATGATTTGACCCAACGTGGCGCCGATTGACGTGTAGATGTGCAGATAACTGAAAATAAGGAGGAGGAACGGCGAATTTATCACAGAAAAACAAATAGTCACAGACAAGTGGAAAAATGAAAGCGGACAGATTTTTATAAAATAATCTTGGTCAGAGTTAATTTTTTATTAAAAACAACAAAAAAAAAGTGATTGAACCAAATAAAGAACGCATGGAATTGTTGTTGCAGTCCCTCCACCTCCATTCAGAGGGGTCCCACCTGTGAATGGACAGAGCAGGAAGCCATGTCGTCATCCCAGGCGGATAGCATGAACCAAAAAATGGAAGGCGGTGCCGGGCACAGCGGTGACAAAAAACCCTGCCCTGTGCACACGCCAGGCTCGGGCGACACCAAGCGGGGCTTCCGCAAGAGCAGGCACAATGACTACGTCAAGATCTCCATGAAGGAGCCCGAGGTCAACCGACTGCCTCCGGAGTGGTGGAAAACGACACTTCTCTTCTTCTACGCCGGCCTCAGCCTGGTGCTGACCACGGTGGTCATCACGGTGGTGCACGAGAGGGTTCCGCCCAAAGAGAGCATCCCGCCGCTGCCCGACACCTTCTTTGAATACATCGACAGAGTCAAGTGGGCCTTCACTGTTACGGAGGTTAATGGCATCGTGCTGGTTACCATTTGGTTCCTGCAGCTCTTCTTCTTCAACCACAAGTGAGAAGCGTATGCATACCGAGATCTGTTTCAAATACTTTGGTATCACCTTTTAGTGATGTTTCACTTGAGATTTTTGGAGGGCGGCAAATAACTATTTTATTCAAGTGTTAAATGTTGCACCTCAAGGTGCAGTTTTGGGCTATCATAACTAATTGATATGCCATATTATGTCCTTGCTGGTCCTGAGGTCCTTGATACCGGCATTTTAATTATTCCAAGAATGAGATCAAAATGTACAGAGAGGCTGCATTTCGCCGTTACTGCGAGTGCCTGTCGGAGGGCGCCAGGAGAGCAGAGACTTGGTGTTTTCAAAAGTAAGATGAAGAATCACCTGATGCTGTATAAGTTAAATGTATATTTTTTCCTATATACCCTAAAAACAGTTGGTAAAAAAAGAACCCAAATTCGGTCAAAAAGTGACCAACTTTTTGGGTCATCCAATTTTTGGGCTCAAGTGAATAGCCCACGAAGTAACACATTTTTATGTGTTCTTCACAAAAATTAGCATATCAGACGGTTTTAAAAAAAAATATATATATATATTATTATTATTTTTTTTAAATAACAAGCAACTTAAAAGTAAAATGTCTAGAAATGTTCCCTACAAATTCCAATACTGTCCATGTTTTGTCACTTATTAATAATGTACGGTAAATGTTGCAGGTCCATCGTATGCCGACGTTACTTTTTCCTCCTGGGCACCTTGTACTTGTACCGCTGCATCACCATGTACATCACCATCCTGCCTGTACCTGGTATGCATTTCAGCTGCGCGCCCAAGGTAAGCATGACACATTCTGGATGGGTCAGCAACGCCAACAAGAGAGACGTGACTTTTTTCTTTTGTGGACGTCATTCAATTCATGTGTGAACACGAGTTGCCGTCTTAGTATTCCAATGCAAATTTTCCATGGCAAAATTTCCCAAATGAATGCAGCCCTTTTAATGCTTGTCCGTTCCCATTTCTCAACCGATTCAAGCCATTCCAACGTCAAACTCGTCAGCCCGGCAGACGTTTGTTATGTTAGCAGACCAACTAGCACAGTGGTATGTTAGCATCTGAGCACTTCTCATTACAAATAGTGGCTGTACACGTGGCAAAATGTCAAACCCTTACACCAACCGCTAGCATGTTGGCTTTTTATCAGTTCTTATTAGAAATAATACCGGACTACAAAGCAAAATGTAAAACCCTTATCAGTCTGTCTGGGCGCTTTTTGGACTTTCATTCACGATATTTTAGCCAACATCAAGATGTAAAACCCCAATCAACCCGTCCCTGGACATTTTGTACTCGTATTGCAGTCTCGCTATTGTGAGCATAAAAACTGCTAGCATTTTGTCAACAACTTCAACCTCAGTGGCTTTGCTTTTCGTCAGCTGTATGGAGACTCGTATGCCAAGTTCCAGCGAATTCTGAAGTTGATTTCCGGCGCCGGCCTGTCCATTACCAGTTCTCATATTATGTGCGGAGATTTCCTGTTCAGTGGACACACCGTGATGCTCACCCTCACTTACCTGTTTATCAAGGAATGTGAGTCATTTTTATTATATTTTTCTGCATTTATGTATGCAGTATGTGTGTTGCTTGCCGTTTGTGTGTGTACGCCTATGTACGTATGGATGCACTTTCTTGTGCAAACTGTGAAACACATAAAAAAAATGAAAACAGTTGCAAGGAGCTGCTCCTCACTTGCATTTTAACCTAACCGAGCGACCCCACCTCCAGTGCCTGACGTCACAAACTCGTCTACGCCTCTTAAAAGCACACATCCGACACACAAATACTACAGCACATAATGAATTTATTATGAAACCAGTTTATTTCTTAACATTCTATTTTATTCGGTTTTTACACAATACTGTATATTCTGTTTCTTTTTGAAAAACATGTTACAAAAAGTGCCGTTACTTGGTGGGCTGTAGCGGATTAATGGAATTTTCAATAAATTTAAATGGGGAGCATTTATTTAAGTTTCAAAGTTGGTCACAGAATGAATTAAACTCGAAAGTCACGGTATCACTCTCAACTTAAAACAGTGAAAATGATTCATTTTGTTTGGCGTCACTCCTTTGCTTTGTGGTGGGCTTCCCCCGCAGACTCACCTCGCTCGTTTTGGTGGTACCACTTGATGTGCTGGCTGCTGAGTGCCGTGGGCGTGGTGTGCATCCTGGTGGCGCACGAGCACTACAGCGTGGATGTGGTGGTGGGCTACTTTGTCACAACGCGACTCTTCTGGTGGTACCACAGCATGGCCAACACACAGGTCGGTGTCACATCTCGACAACTAGTTTGCTATCTTGTAACATTAAATTTGTTGGTTCATTATTTTTTGTCCGATGCTGGCATTCGCCGTCCTGTTCTCCCCCTCTGCGCAGTGTGAGTGCTCACCCAACAACTACTTCACCAACACCTGGTGGAACCCGCTGTTTAACTTCATGGAGCGCAACGTGAACTCGCCTGTGCCGCGCGTGTACGGTTGGCCCATCAGCTGGGCGCCCGCCTGCCTGAAAAACCCTTGTAAGAAGTACTCCATGGTACAGAGCACACGTGATGAGTGACAGACTCGGGGGAGAGTAGGGGGGGGGGGGGCAGTGTTCAACAGACAAACGTGCCAAGGAGGTTAATTATGCTTTGTCTGTCTGTGTTTTTGCTGTTGTCATTTAAACAGCTGCATAGTTGGCTGTTTCTCTATTTGTGTGCGTGCGTATTACCGTAGATATTCTTCTGCCAGCTTCTAGCGCAGAGGTGGGCATTTATAGTGCATTTATAGTGACTTCACTTCCCAAAGTAAACTTCCAAATTAAAAAAAAAAAAATTGTTCAATGAGCGGACCTCACTATGACTGTCACAAGGTGCCTTAGTTCAGTGTTACCCAACCTTTAAGGCGCCAAGACGCACATTTTACATCCCCAAAAATCTGATGCCTCATGACAAGCAGTCCGCCAACCACCAGGGGGCGAATGCATCTGACAAGTGAGCAAGTCGTGCTGAGAGAAGAAAGCGCAGCAAAAATTTGAGATGAGGAGCATCATGATAAACAACTCATCTGTTGTCTTGACTTCGTATTTGCAGCTCTGCAAAAAAAAAATTGTTGACACAGTTAGCCATTTGTAAATTTTAAACATTTACATACAATTTTACTTCTTTTTATTTATCATCATTTACTCTTTCAGAGTTTAGTAATATGTACTTTGCACCGAGAACTGTTTGTTTGTTAAAAAGTAGTGCAATAAAAATACGGATGTTTTCCTTGCTTGAGGGAAATTGTGATTATAACGAAGGTTACAATACTGTATTATAAAATACAATATTACAATATAGATCAAAATAATCATTATTATCATTTTGGCCATAAACATGCAGCTCTAACTCATGCCATACCATCATTCAAAAATATACCCCAAAGTATATCGTACTTTAGTACTAATATGAAGTACTTCCTGAAATAATGTTGATGTTTGGCGGTAGTAATTCACGATCTGTCACTACGCTGCCAGCAAAGATAGATGAACAAGGTTACATAATTTGTCGTCCAAAAAAAAAAAAAGTAGATGAACAAAGATACATATTTTGTAGTCCAAAAAAAAAAAAAGGATCATTTTGCATAGCACACCTGATGATTTCCCACAACACACTAATGTGTTGTGGCACAGTGGTTGGGAATCACTGCCTTAGTGGGTTCAACTTTTGAGTGTGTGTGTGTGTGTGTGTGTGTGTGTGTGTGTGTGTGTTTACCAAAACTGCCTTTATGAGTTTTTATTATTCATAATAATTAATTAAACTTGATTTTAGAACCTCTCTATTTATGTGTATCATCGATGTGGTATTTGCCTTGTATTAAAATGAATTAAGAACACTTAAGTGTCTTATTTGCACTTGCGTGCGTACAATGATGCAAAGCTAAGGTCGATGCTTTCTATTACCTTTGATAGCACAGTCGCCCCTGCCAACATGGCCGACACATTAGCATGCTCTTAGTCTGCTCTGTTCTACCATAAATCTGTTTGGCTACGACGGGAAAGCAGAGCAAGCCGTAAACACCCGATCAGTCTTTGTGGCTAATCGTGAGCCAGTTCTAAAACTAATTGACTTTGAAACACCACTAGACACGATTTTCTGTCCGTTGCATCCAGGGTCGGATGCTTCCAGGTCCCTTAAATCGAGGTTCAACTGTATGAACATGAATCATTCCTGGACAGTTGGTTTTATGCATCGACGTATGATGTTGCATTTTAAACCCTATATTGTCTTTTTGTCAGGCGCTGCATATCAGCTAGTGTTGTACCAGAGAAGTGAGGGCAGTTCCATGACTGAAGATAGCGCTACGCAGCCGACGGGAGATAGGGTCATGCTGATTGGTCTCAATTCTTTGAACCATGAGGGACAAGCGCTCGGCTGCAAGTCGTCGGAAGTCGCCAGCCGAGCCCTTAGCATGACTCGGCACGACGACGGCTCCTGTGTGTGGAGGAACATTACCAGTCTGGTCAGGAGACTCATATATGGTCACTGCGACACACGCATATGTGACCTCCCACGTAGGGAATGTGGGGAGTGTAGTTAGGCTGTCATTTGTGATTCTTTTTTAAGTCCTTTTTTTTTCTTGTAGATCGCAATTTAAGATCAACAGAATCGTTGGGAAGTCATGTACCTTCCCTCACCTTGGTACTGGTGCGTCCTCCCGCATTCCAAAAACTTGCAATGTTTGGTTTAAGACTAGATATGATGCATTAGTAAAATACAGTAACCCTCCGCTATTTACAGGCAATAGAAACTGAGCACTGCCATGAATCAGAAAAACCACGAGTAATTTAAAAAATGTTTCTCATTGCCTATATAAGTCATTCAAAGCCGTGATTTCCAGTGTGTTGCGTGCACTGCTGGTGGGACGTGTGCTCCATGAAACCATCGAATCTCAAAACAGCATTTTACAAACAAGCGCGGCACTTTAGGAATAACCAGTGGATTAACCAATGGAATTCTATTTTATTAAGTGCAATACATTTGCATGATAATCTGAGACCACTTTAGATTTTCTTTATTTTTTTTTAGCAGCACACCATTTTACTTTAATCATTTCTGACATATCATTAGGCCTGCAGTGCTTGTGCTACTTTTTTAAGTACTGGCCATGGAGAGGTAATTATTTTTTGAGGTTGTCATACCTGTCAACTTTTCGGAGCGCCAACCTGTATAAACTACCAAAAAAATCCTTATGAAGAGCAAAAAATCCTTATAACATACCAAAGCATTTTATATGTCAAAATAAACGGCAGAAAAACCCCCACGAAATATGAATGATATATTTGTTTCCTTGTAGAACTTGCTTGTACACTATCCAATGAATACTCTGCTGTTTTCAACTAGGAACCACGTGATTTACTGGAAAGTTACCGGAAATGAAAGCATTCGAGTAGGCTAGCACCATTCTGGGCAAAAGCAAACGGAACTACCTGTTAGGGGGGAACGAAATTTTCAGAATCCGTATGATTTGTGCGATATGGCCATATACGTAAGATTCACCACAAAATCCGTATGAACTATGGCTAAACCGTATGAGTTGACAGGTATGGGTTGTACTTCGGGTGACAAGTTTGCAAATCACTGGTTTAAAGCGTGAATAACAGTTCAAACCAATAACTAGGTGAGACAGGGATAGAACGCTGTTAAATCTCGGTAGGGGGCGCAACAAACCTTTTGTCTTTTTTTTTTTTTTTTTGTACTTGTGTATGACTACTCCCCCCAAAGTTATCTTGGACATACTCCCAACTCATCCCCAACCCTAATGAGGACGAGCTAAAGAAAACGGATTGACGGCGGGAGCAATAATGAACAACAGAACTGCTCCGAAGTGACACAAGTGTTGAACCATTTCAACTGCATTGTCAAACGGCAAGCAAGATTGGTCAGTGAAGATATCTGAGCCATTTGACTTTGAATTCCTTCCAGTGTCTGTCACATGACCAATGGACCATAATTTTATTGGCCAGATATTGGTTGAAGTGAAAATTGATTTATTGTGTTTAACCTGTGCTCTGACTGTACCATTTCATTTTGAATTTGAATGTCGACTTTGAAGATTTTTGCACGAACATTTTTATGATTTTTATTTATAAGAAATGTAAAACACGTTGATAAAATCAACTCTGTTGAAAATTTATAAAGAGAATAAAAAAACTACACTTTGATGCCTGCAAGCCAAAATTCCGGGAATGGTAAAATCAAACCTATCAGAGAAGCCTATTTTCTCTGTCCACCAATAGGAGACCAGCTCACCACAACATTGGAAAGATGGTTCGTGTCTGTTTACTTAGAAAAGCAAACATGGTTTGATTTCGCGTTGTAATACAGTCCCCTAACTTTGACACTATGCTCCCGCATTGGAGCAAGTCGCTGCTGTCTGAAGTAAACGTTGCAACTTTGCTCGTCTTCGTCGTTGTGTATTTGTCTCTTCACTACCACCTAAAACGCCGCCGCCGCCGCCACCGTCGTCTGGCTAACATACCCCCGGGTCCCAAGCCCCTGCCGATAGTGGGCAATTTCGGCGTTTTTCTCATCCCATCTTTCATCCGGAGGAGGATCGGGAACGCGTCGAAGCCGAGCTCGACACCAGTGGAGGCGCTGACGGAGCAAGCGGCGATCTACGGCGAAGTGTTCAGCCTGTTTGTCGGCACGCAGCTCATAGTGGTGCTGAACGGCTATGACGTCATCAGAGACGCTTTCCACCACCGTCCTCAAGTGTTTTCAGACAGGCCGGACATCCCTGCGGTTACCATCATGACCAAACGCAAAGGTGCGTAATTAATGGGATTAATGTAGTATTCGTATTCCAGGAGTTTTTTTTTTTAATTTCCTGACATTTAATGACATTGTTTCATGAACTTTTTAATGACTAATAGCATTTATTTTATTGGATTATTTATTCAAGGGCATTTTCAGTTAACAAATATATTTTTATTGCATTTTAAATGACTCATTGAATTAGTGAGTTTCATGTAAAAGTTAAATGATTATTCTATGACATTTTTAGTTATTTAATGGTATTGTTTAGTTGTTTACACCTTCGTAAATTGTAAATGCAACAGCATATTGAGTTGTTTAATTTTGTTTTTAATTACACACAGAGGTGCAATGATTAATCAGCAACTATAAATTATCAAATGAAACAATTATTTTTGATAATATATCGATAAACTCAGAATGTAAGCCTTAGCAGGAAATTTCTCCGATTTTTTTTTGTAGTCCAACGTGAAATCAGACTTACTACCTTTAGCATTTTTTCGTTTATTGACTTTTTTAATGGCATTAATTTCTTAAATTGTATTTTTAATGATTTAATGAGTGTCTATAGTAATGAAGCTGGATGTAACTTCGGAAGTTACTTGCTTCAGTACTAAATCTTCCCTGTTGACAACCATCTACGTCACCGCCACAACCAAGGTATCGTCTTCGCGCCGTATGGGCCGGTGTGGAGAAAGCACCGCAAGTTCTGCCATGCCTCCCTTCGAAACTTCGGTGTGGGGAAACTTAGCCTGGAGCCGTGCATCCTCCAAGGCCTGGCGACGGTCAAAAGTGAGCTTCTGCGACTACGTCAGGAAGTTGGCAAGGGCGGCATGGACTTGATGCCGCTGGTCAGCAACGCCGTCTCCAATGTTATCTGCTCTTTGGCCCTGGGCGAGCGCTTCCCCCAAGACGACCGCCAGTTCGGGACCCTGCTGGGCCTGATGGTACGAGGCCTGGAGCTGTGCGTTAACAGCCCCGCCGTCCTCATCAACGTCTTCCCACCACTCTACCACTTGCCCTTTGGCGCCTTCGGGGAGCTCCGGCGTGTGGAGCGCGACATCACCGCCTTTCTGAAGAGGATGATCGCTAAGCACCGCGACACGCTGGACCCAGAGAACCCCAGAGATTTAGTGGACATGTACTTGGTGGAGATAGCACGCCAGAGAGCTGCGGGTGTGGAGGACAGCAGCTTCGATGAGGACTACCTCTTCTACATCATTGGGGATCTCTTCATCGCCGGCACTGACACCACCACCAACTCTCTTCTGTGGATCTTGCTCTACATGGCCGTGCATACTCACGTCCAAGGTAAAAACAAAAAAACAACAAACAGAATCAGCAACCAGGTGGCTTCCACGGGAATATAGTTTCCATGCTATTTGCAAATAACAAAAATCCTCTTGTAAATGACACCCCTGAAAGGCCTAATTTATCTCAAAACGCCATTCCACATTGAAATGAATGGGAATTTCATTAATCCGTCCTAGTGTGTTTTTTCATCAAAGAAATAGCACTCTAGAGTAGGGATAAACAACTTAAATAAACACTGGAAGGGGCGACAATTTTCCATCACTGCAACTGACACTACCAAGAACTAAGCGGAGGCACAGCGGGATTGGTCCCAGGTGTACCGTTACACTAATTAAGTTAAGAAGTTCACAAAATGGATGGATGAATTAAGATAACATTTTTGCGTCTACCGTGGATTCAGACAAGGTCCAGGCAGAGGTGGACAAGGTGGTGGGACGATGTCGTGTTCCGTCTCTGACTGACCGGGGTCGTTTGCCCTTTACCGAGGCCACCATCATGGAGGTCCAGAGGCTGACCTCCGTGGTTCCGCTGGGCATTCCACACATGGCATCAAAGACCACAGGTGACATCATATGACACCAAATCATGCTGATTTTTTTTTTACCTGTGCCAAGCACATAAGAATGTGTTTTGTGTGTGCAACTTCCGTTTTTTTACTGGGTCCTATTTTAGCAACACATTTTTGTATATGTATAAGGTTTTCTCTGACCAATCAACCAATTAGAGGACATAAAAATGCTGAAGTAATCGAAGGCCAGTGCTCTTGGCCCTGTGAGATGAATTTGAAATCTGATTCGTCAAACAGTCACAATGACCGTAGTGACTGAGAAGGCCTTGGTGGCCCCGAAAGTTATTTTTACTTTTGTGCAACACATTTGCAGACTTCCGAGGTTTCACGATTCCGGAAGGAACGGTACTCCTGCCCAACCTGTGGTCTGTCCATCGAGACCCCGCCATGTGGGACCAACCCGATAGCTTCAGGCCTCAGCGCTTCCTGGATGATGAGGGCCAGGTGGCCAGAAAAGAGTGCTTCATGCCTTTTGGGATCGGTACCTTACTCATCCTACATGGCAAATCTGCGTGTGAACTTATGTAATTTTCTATTCTCTCTCTCCTGGGTGTCAGGTCGCAGGATGTGCATGGGCGAGCAGCTGGCCAAAATGGAGCTCTTCCTCATGGTCACCGGCCTACTGCAGGCCTTCACCTTCCGACTGCCGGACGGAACGCCGCCGCCACCCATGCATGGACGTTTTGGACTGACGCTGGCGCCGTGTCCCTTCACCGTGTCCGTCAGCCCTCGTGGGTGAAATCAGCCGAGTGGATGTCCACAAAGGCAAACAGTGCAATATATTGTACATACAAAGTCACTAGACACTTTATTGGGTACACTATCGGTACAGTATCATTTTGGGTTAGTACTGTAACGCTGGGGATAGCAAAAATGCTGGTTGTTTATTCACAGTTAAATGAACAAGGCCTGGTGATACATTGTTCACCTGGTCACTCACAAACCATGGAAACTACATTTCACCTCGCGTGAGAAAATCACTTTGGTAGGCCAGGAAACATGAGGAACAAGCATCCGTCTCCCAGCATCTCTGTGCACTAACTAGCGGGCGGATCTGTAGCCCCTCGTTGCTGGGAGTTCTTTTTGCTAGTTTCCCCAATGTGTTACAATACACTACGCACATTTTTAAGTGTTATTTTAATTGAAACAAATATAATTGACATGGTGTCCATAAATCATGAGAAATGTGGATCAGTGCAGTTTTGCTGCTGTTTTTTTTTCATACAATCTTTATTGAACATGTTACAAACAAATATATCAATACACATAGGAAAAAAAGAATAGCCAAGGGCATATATTTTAAATAACACTACATCAAGAACATAAAGCAACAGTCTTCTTTGCTGTTTTTGGAATCCAAATGGTATTCCTACCTACACTGTTTGCTCTCCGCCTCAAAAATCAACGTTTTCAGTGACTACATTCTGTAAATTGAATTTTGCTCCGATAATTTTATAAGAAAGACTTCCGGGTTTTTTCCTCCGACTATGCGTTGCCTCGGCTGGCCCGTCGGCACCTGTTACGTGGCGTCATCAATGTGTGTCAAAAGTCACACAGGCGGAGAAGTGCCTGGCGTCACGTGACCAGCAACCGTCCTGTTAGCTTCCAGTAGGTGGCCAGCTACTCGTCGTTGTCATGGCGTTCTTCGGGCACCATATGTGCAGAGCTTTCTCCTCATCGGCCTTCAGGAGTGTGGCCATCAAGCATGTGGTCATCATCGGCGGAGGACAAATGGGTGCGGGAATCGCTCAGGTGAGCCGAAAATGAGTTTCGAGTGTTAGCCCAGCGGCTACGTGGCTAACCGATTGTCACCGAGATCCTGGTGACCTCACGAAGACTGTCACCGGGATACTAACGTGCAAATTAAAGTATTTGCTGTTATTTATGCTGCAGCTTATTCAACATTTGCCTCCCTTGAAATGTGACAATATATGTCGTTCAATGAACTCACCTAGCCAAGTTAACTTTAACTGCAGTTGAATGTTTGTCCAGCAGATGTCGCCACCGGCTTGCTTTGTGCCCGCTTAGGAAACACGTAACTGTAAAAGTCAATCATTTTCTTATGTTCTTGAGTTTTTACTTGTATGGGCCAAATTCACCCTCATGGTTCCAGGCTGAAGGTGGTGGTCATCAATAAATTGTTAAATATATTGTTCTGGAGCGACATAATATGAAAATTACATTTTTAATTGTGAATCATTTGTTCTTGAGAGTGCCTGCCCAGCTGTCAATTATGCCACTTATGTAGGTAGAATGTTAATTTACTCATCTCAACTATTAAAAATAACCACCGCTGCTTACAAATTGATCATACGATGACAGTTAAAAAAATTAATTCATCACATAAAAAGAGTAAAACAGCACAAAACATAGCAATATAAAGTCTCATGCTGAGTCAAAACTGAAAAACAAAATGTATTACATGTCCTCTTATGAAATAAAATTCAAATAGGCGAACCGCTGTTTACGGTAAAATGTCTAAAAAGATAACGCAGCATCATATGTGCGTTCTTTTGCCCTCAAACTCCTTGAATGTTTGCGTTAGGTCGCTGCGTCGACAGGCCACCAAGTAACGCTGGTGGACACGTCAGACGCCATCTTGACGAAGGCGGTCAAGGGCATTGAGGCGAGCTTGAAGAGAGTGGTGAAGAAAAAGTTTGCTGACAAGCCTGAGGTTAGTAGCCCGATTGTGGCGAAAGAGGAGAGCTGCAACTAGTTTACCTAATGCGTTCATATTTTCTTTCTAGGCGGGTGTGGCGTTCATTGAGAAAGCTCTACGCAACGTGTCCATCGCGACAGACGCCGCCGCCGCTGTCCAGAGTGCAGACCTTGCGTTAGAGGCCATCGTGGAAAACCTGAAAGTCAAACAGGATCTTTTCAGCGTGCTTGATAAGACTGCGCCGGCGTAAGCGTTACAACCTTAAGGGCTTCCTGTGCGTTTTTTCCTTCTAAAGCTGCAAAAACATGATCGAGTTATAAGTGGTTGTTAAAGGAATGGAGTGTTCACACCACGTTAAAAAAAAAAAAAAAAGTATGTGTCAACTGAATCTGTTTATTTAAAGGTGAGCAAGCTTTCCACATTATTGAATTTTTTTTTTAGATGTACCTGAACTGTGCTGGTCCATTTTAAGTCTTTTAGGTGTCGGTAGCACTCTTCTTTCTTTCTTCTGCTCTTTCTTCAATCCAATTTCTGTCTGACTTTCAGACACACCATATTTGCCAGCAATACTTCGTCGCTGCCCATTGGCGACATCGCGAGTGCCACCTCCAGGCTGGACCGGTTTGGTGGCCTGCATTTCTTCAACCCGGTCCCCATGATGAAACTCGTCGAGGTAACGCAACACACAACCTCATAGATAACGAAATGTTGTTTATTCGCCTCACAATGGGGATATTTAATCTGATACCGTTTGCATTTAACAAATTAAAAATGACCTCTATATGAGAACATTACAACAAATCTATTTTTGTTTGACCAAAATTGAACATTTAATGCAGTACCTCCACGTGGATGATGTCACTTTTCCACCCCCGCCAGGTCATTGGAACATCCGCCACGAGCCAGGAGACATTCGATTCCCTGATGAACTTTAGCAATGCGCTGGGCAAAACGAGCGTGTCCTGCAAGGTAGGACGGAAGGAAAGACGGGGAAGGTCGCAGTCTTTCCTCCAGTGAGGAAAGTAAACCGCAACGCTAGCCGGTTAACCGACACGCTTCCGTTCAGGACACACCAGGATTCATCGTGAACCGTCTGCTCGTCCCCTACATGCTGGAGGCCGTCCGTCTGCATGAGAGAGGTACGAAACCGCTCTTCCGAACTTGGATCTATGCGTGTATGCCGGTGTCAAACTATGCCCCCGCGCACCGTCCCGCTGCAATGTGTCTTGACAGAGTTTTTTAAAAAAAGATGTTGCGCATAAGTCACGACAGTGGACGCTTGCGTTTCATGGAAGGTCACGTGATTGCAGGTCACGGGTCCAAAGAAGACATCGACGTGGCCATGAAGCTGGGTGCTGGTTATCCAATGGGACCCTTTGAGCTGCTGGACTATGTGGGTTTAGATACAGCCAAGTTCATTTTAGATGGTGAGTCGAAATGTTGCTTTTGCAAGTCGACAAATGAATCTGGGCTCGGGTTGACCAATTTGTGTTGTGATCAGGTTGGAGCGCCATGGAGCCAACTAATCCTCTCTTTAGCCCGAGCCCTTTGCTCAACAAGCTGGTCGCAGATGGAAAGTTTGGCAAAAAAACGGGAGAAGGATTCTACAAGTACAAGTAGCTTCACTTTTGTTAGGAATGGCGACAGCAGCGGAACCAGACCGATGAATAAGTACAATGTTGCTGTGGTGATAATGTGACTCACAATAATGCTGTGTGCCTTTTTTCCCTGAATAATGACTGGATTAGCACTACCAAATGTGCTAACTGTGGATCATGAATAAACACGGGGGGGGGGGGTGTATTTTTGTCAATTACCAATTGTTAATTTTTTTTGTATTTGAACAATGAAAGTCCTCTTAGCTATTTAACTCTCTTGAAGTAATATTTGAAAAGCATGACTTTGGCAATCGTCAGAGAATGCCCTGCCATTACTGAAGTGAACACAGGGGGGTGCTGTTGCTTTTGAAATGAGAACGTAAGACTCGCTTAATGAAGCTGAAATTGTTTTATGTCAACTTTTCACACAAATGATTTGTTATACACTCAATCTGACTCATTTTCACTCGTGTCCCAAGTTTGGTATTACCGAGCGCTCCACATATTCGTATGTACAGTGGTGCCTTAAGATATGAGCTATCAATCTGATTGCTTGCTCTCACTTGCGAGTGTAAACTTGGGATACGAGCGCTTTTTGGTGCCAAGTGGGACTCAACTCACTTCATCCCAAGCGTCAGGGGTGACAGATAAAATGTGTGAAAGGTCTGTGCATCGACTGTGACTTTTCACATTTTCTGTTGGCCAAACATTTAGGGATACAAAGAAATACATAAACGGATGCGAAGCAGAGACATTTATCGGTCTGAAAAGGGTTACAAAGCCATTCCTAAAGCATTAGGACGGCAGCGAACAGCGGTGAGAGCGGAACAGTCGTGTCCCTTCCCCATCTGTGGCCAGCCTCCGAAAATTAACCGAAGAGCACAGCGACCACTCATCCAGGAAGTCACGAAGGAACCCGGGACAACATCTAAAAAAAGGTCAATGACTCGACACAAGAAAAAGGCGACAGGGCAAAAATGACATCCATGGCAGAGTTCCCAGGTGAAAACCGCTCGGCATCACTTTTCTGTGGAGAATCCATTGGTCGTCTTAAGATTTCATTGTACCCTGCGCAGATTCAGGACACTCTGTACCAGGTGCAGAAAAGCAGCCCCAGGACATAACCCAGCCTTCTCCGCGTTTCACAGTAGGGACAGTGTTCTTTTTTTCTTGGTATGCTCCGTTTTGCATCTGTGAACATCGAGCCGATGCGCCTTGCCAAAAACGTCCAGTTTTGTCTCATGTCTGAACCGGGCTGCCTCATAGCTCTGATTTTTGTCAACACAGCGGGTTTGCCCACCTCGTCATCTCTCCTCATTTGCAATTTGTGTGCGTGTGTGTGTGTGCGTGTGTGTGAATTGATTGACTTGAGGTTTTCAAAAGGAAAGCTGGAGTGAAGGTTAAAAAAGGAACACCTTATAAATTAAAATCCTAATTTTGATCTTAATATTGCTTAAAACTAACCCTGTGAGAAATTCAGAGGAAAGTCAAGAAGAAGGTGAAACGTCAGTAGAAATAGATTTGTAGTTGAGATGGGTTCATCCAAAAATAACTGCTTAGCATCCCAATTTCAACCAGGAGTGTCCACACTTTTGAAGGGCCGCGTATGGAAACATCAAAGTTGGCCGCCTTGACATTTTTCATTCCACACTAAACCATTTCATCAGTGGAAGTAAAAACCTGTGAAGCTATATTGTATTTATTTTTATATATGCCGTATAGTTGACAAAAAAACCCCAGCTAGATAATGAAGCAAAAATTCAATCAATGACATTTTAATATCCTTGGAGAGCGACTTTTAGCCTTTAACTCGACTTGTCTAAAATTTCCTTTCCAATCTTGTAGGACGACTCGCTCCTTCACTTCCTCTGGTCCATCTTCAGTGTGGTACACACCACCAAACAGCTTCAGGGATTTCCACACCTCCATTACGAACACACACACACACACACACACACACACACGCACACACACACACACACACACACACACACACACACACACAGGATCAAATAAGCAAATTGTGCCTTTTTATTGATTTTTCTTAAAAAACAACAAAAAAAACGTGGAAACATTTCAAAGACGACCACTTGGGAAGCAAAAGTGCTCCTCCAAGATGACAGCGACCCCACATCGTATAACACGGGATAGGCATCATCATCAAAATCATCATCATCATCATCATCATCGTGGAGCAATAGTAAAATAGAGAAAATATTACAGAGATGCTTGCGTGGGAGTGGGGTGGGGGGGGGGATGACAGAACAAAACAAAAAAAACAAAACAAAGAGCTCACCATTTTGCTACCAGGAGGAAGGGGGGAAAAAAGGTCCATTGCAATAAAAGAGACTGTCAAGTGCTGGGGTAAATATAATATCTGCTTCATTTGTCTGCATGTCCATTCACAAAATATAGGCCTCACTCTCGCATGTTGCCTGAAAAAAATCAAAGTCCAAGGAAAATGACCTGGGGAAAACGTACACACACACATTCACCCACTCACAGCATTAGTTTACAAGATTTCAAAAAAAGAAAAAGAAAGAAAAGGGGAAAAAATGGCTTTCAAAGCTTATGTTCATATATAAGAAATGCACACCATGATAAAACAAGGGCTCAAGATGATTTAAAAAAAAAAAAGTAAATGGAATAAAAGGTTGATCCTTTTGGCCAAGTCGCTGGTCCAACCTATTCAAAAATAAAATTAAAATAAATGTGTGGAGATGAGATGAGAAGAAATCCCTCCATGTTCCTTTAGTGCAATCTACAAGAGGCGATTGGTCCGTTTGGTCGGAGGGAGGGGTCGGGGTGGGGGGGGCAGGTACCCCGAAATGGTCGCTGGACTCCAGTGAAAAAGTGGGAATGTTGACCCGAGCCAACTGGGGGGGGGCGCCCCATGGGCCTTAAACTACATTTCTGGAAAAATATAGTCCACATATTTATGATTGTGTAGTATCAAAATTTGTGCTCACCGATTTTGGAAGCTTTTAGTTAATTTCTCGTGGCCTGTTCAGTTTCTCACTCCTGAATTTGACAAAAGAGCGAACAAATAACTTAAAAATAACTTAGTTGGAGTGTGCAGGTGGTGTGTGTTGATTATTGGTGCGAGATTTGTGTGTGTACAGGGAGTGACACACAAACACACGCGCACACTTTGAGTGAAAGAACGTGAGTGACGGTGATTGTCGTGTTCAGTTCAGTGTCTTTCCAACAGGGAGAGTGTGACGTGTAACTTTTAAGCGGTGTGAGGTGAAAAGTGTTGGGGTAGTTTCGGTGGTGGGGAAGGGGGCTGGGCAGGGGTTGGTCCTCTGAGGGTCTTCATGGAATCTTATCAGGCCTCCATCTCAAGCAGAGGCCCCGCAGCGGCTGCCTTCGCTTTGCATGTGGAGAAGTTGTTCCGTTTTCCTCCTGCGATGACAGAAAGACGTGCGTGGCGGTCATTTATCACCATAGCGACGAAAAGGGGTTGCGCCAGGAAAAAAATGTATATATATAGATATATATAGATATATATAGATATATATAGCTACACTTCATATCAAAAGCATACAAATGAAAAATGTCTGGAACAGATGAGGGACTATTTCCTGAAAACATACTTTTTTTTTCTCTCTCTCTTGAAAAGATCCATTCCTATTCGTAAGAACGGTAATATTAGATTTGAAATTATATCTAAAAACGTGTCAAAGTCCTATATGATGGAAAGAAAGTATTTCTCTGTATTTGTGACATTTCACAAATACATGTGATCTTCAAGAGGAGAAGTTTTGTATACTGTATATATATTTTTTCCGAACCCCGTCGTGCATTTACTTTCAAAATGAAACTAATGTGATATTTTTGCGGAAAGTCGAGGCAAAAGGGCATTCGTTAAGTTTGAGTGAAAACACGGCACGTTTTTAAGAAAGTTGTACATCAAACAGAATCGGCCATGAAACGCAGAGGTCAAAGGTTGACCAGTGCAAAGAGTAAAAACAAACAAACAAACAAATAAATGATGTCACTTCTCAAGTTAGCATCTTCCCGTTAGCCGCCGTATAATCATTTTCACCACATGCTGCATGAAAGCAACCGCGGCCTCCCCATCTCGACATCTCCAGCACAACCCTGCAGGTCCTACGCACCCCCCCCCCCCAACTCCCCCCCCTGCGGCCCCCGCCGACAAGAACC